TAGCTTTCTGTAACACTGAGTTTCTTTTCATTATAGAGTTCACCTGAATCTGAGCATCTATTGTGGTCGCTACAATTAAAAAGTGTCGTTCCTAGTGCATACCTGTTGCATGGTTGTGTAACTGTGCCCTCATTTTGTGATAACTTGACATTAATTTTTGTGGCCACATCCATTTAGTGTTGCATGATGAATTGTTCTGGGAGTCCACATTGCAAATTGCGGGAGCATCTTCTCTGTTGTTTCTGTCCCCATCAGCAAACTGAAGCATTCCTGCTGGCACAGGAATAGAACCAGTTAGTAGTATTTATGATAAACCAGTTAGTGAAGTTTATTATGGAGCACTAGCAGGAGCGCTCATAACACCATTCTGTGCTAATGCCCATCCTCAAATGTTAATTTCATTTGCTTTCAGGCATGTTTTGCCAAACAGAGAACACATTGCTGTTCAGTTCTCAGCCCTCTCGCAGTTTCATTTGCACTCTTTTAGAAGTATGGCCAAAGCATTCCTGTGTGTTCCAAAATTTGATTATTCCTAAGCTTTTGCATGTGCTTGACTGGAGGTATTAGTTTTCAGCGGAGGCAGAAACAGTGGTGATGTACACTTCCTTCTCTTATACTTCCCTACCATTCTCAATACTCTCCCAGGGTGGACGAAAGTAAACTGTATGCTGTTCAGTGTTCTGCTTGTAGCACAGGTCCAAGTGTGGTATTCCCTTCTTTAACATGTCCTTTTGCCCTCTAAGGAATAGCTACACCTTACTTAATTAGTTTATCAAGACAGACTGTACATTATCATTTATAAACTAAGTTGCTTTGGGATAATAATGCTGCTGCATTGTCAGTGAAATGAGTAAAAATGTGAGCATTACCTTCATATATATATATGTGCGTGTGAGACACAGGCTTTTCCCATGCCCCTTGACATCAGATACTACTAATTTTCTGTTGTTTTGGCGGCGTACAAAATAGCATACCCTGGAGACAACAGAGCTATGTTGTTAATTCCTGTTCTTAGCCAGCCCCCTGGAATCTGTTTTGGTTTGGAATATGGGAAGGAATGAAGCTATGGGAAATGGTGTTTCTGTCACTGGTTAAAGAAAGAGCTACCTTGTACACTGTCATATAGGCTAATACATGCATTGTGTGAATCCAGAGTATGAGAAGACATTCACCAATGTACTGTATTTTTCCTGACTAGCAAAAATAAACTATTCAGTTTCAGTGCCATTTCCCAATTTTTGGTATCCTCTTTGGCTCATTTCCCAAACAATTCTGAACTCTGAGCTGGGAATTGGGAATGTCTTTCATTCCCCCTGCCCACATTGTTTGCTCTAGCTACTGGAACTTTTCAATTTCTGGGAGGTGCTCTATCTCCCTGTTTCTCTGCCAGACTAATTTTTTTGCTCTAGTGGGCTTTCTGCTTGGAGCAGAGAGTGCTAAATGCCTGTTCAGAAGTGTTACAGTTTCAGGGAAGGTAGATGATTAATTTCCAGGCTATTTCTATTTTGGGTTTTGTTTGGGTTTTTTTGTTTGGTTTTTTTGTTTCCTTTCTTCTTACAATAGTAATTGGGATTTTTTAGTTTTTCTCTCTGTACTCTCTTCCAATGTAGAAGTAAAATTTTCAAAAAATCCTCCAAGGTCCCATGAGGAAACAGTAACCGGTCTTTCCATTCTTTATGTGGGCACATACACACAGAAGGGCAAAGAGCACAGCCATCATGTCAGTGCAGCACAGAGAACAGTGAAATATGAGTAGAAGATTTGTTTCTTCCTGCTATCTTAACTTTTTTCTTTGTTGATATTAAAGCATAAATTACTCTTAACGCAGTTCTTCCTTAAACATTCATTGTACACTGATAGGCTCAGCAGAGGTTTGGTCACCAGGGGAATGGATGACTCAGGCTTTTACACACTGAGTCAACAGTCACAATGAGTAGATTCATATACTTTTGGCATGTAAGTACAAGCTGGCACTTCATTTCACTGTTTTTTTCGATTATTTTTTCCAGAATTAATTCAAACATTCTGAAGTATTGGGAAATAACATAACCTGTGGTTTGCTTGGGCATAGGTTACAGTCGAAAGTGCGTTGATGTTGTTACCTGCTCTCGCGGTGTTACGTTTGCAGTTAAGGAAACAGCCTCAGAATGCCTTTCAGGCTTGTGTTTTCATCAGTTTCTGTTTGAGGGGTATGCGAATAATACCTAGCAAACTTGTTTAAATATATAACATGCTTTCCTAACTGTGTAATGTTTCACTTTGTTTCTTTGAAGACCTAAGGTTTTTGGAGGTGCTGATGGTAAAATTGTTCAAAGGGCAGTAATGCAGCATGGGGCTGTGGAGCTTGCCAGGCTGCAAACAGGATAGAACAAGCTTTTATTCTTTGGCATCTGCTTAAAAGTAGTCCTTTTGTTTTGCTAAACTTTTCATTTGGACTGTTTTGAAGGGAAGTGATGCACTGTGGCTCAAACTGACAAGTTCTATGTTCTTTACCTGGGATAACTTTATTGAATACTCTCTCTGACTGAAAGGCGTGTTGTGAACAGCAGTAGTCCAGTGTGACAGTAGAGATAAATAACACTGTCATCAAAGTAGATGCAGGTTTCATTCAATTTCATTTCTCTTTCTGCACCAGTGTCTCCCAAAGAGTTCTGATGCTTTATGCTGATCCTCCCTACTGGAGATAAGCAGATGATTTATTTTCTGTCACCTCTATCCAATGAAATTCAAGATCATGCTGCTAAGCCATCTTTTTACAGGAAAAATGATCTAATGACTGGACTGCTGTACTGTCACGGAAATAAATTGTCTTCTACGTTCAGATAGCACCAAGGTGGTGACCACTTGGTGCAAATCTTCTTCCTATTGTTAATGGTTTCTCAGTAGGATAAAAACCGGTGCTCTTGGCAGCTAAAAGATTTAGTCACCTCTAGATAATGTATTTGAGACAAGCCACAACTAGATCAACTATTATTTGTGAGGGTTTTGCCTCCATTCATCATGCAGTAGTACTTTTTGCAAGAGTTCAGCTGTAGAGCTCCTGCCAGAGTCACTGATAATGTTTTATGGGGGTCTAATTTTATTTTTCCTAAGTGTCTGTGTCTTTTTGTTTTTTCTCACTTTTGTGGTATTCTATTGAATTGTGAGCTGGCTAGCCTTCCTGTGGGTGGGTGTGAAAAATTTGTCTCTCTGTTCCAGCTTTGGGTAGTGAACATGAGCTCCCTTGCCATTCCTCTGAATCTGTGCTATATTGTAAAAAGATGATTATGGAGTGCAATATTTAAGGGTTGTATGGTGGCATGAGATCAGGTTCTGTGGGGGGAACTGGCTATATTTGGAAATCTCCGTGATCTGCTACTACTTAAATGATCAGCTTTAGAGAGGACAAAGTCAAATAGTGTCAAAAGTTGTCTGCCAAACCTTTTGTGCTTTGACAACTGCTTTTCAGGAAGTCTGCTGTAATTTTTAAGGTGATGTCAAGTAGTGCTAATATTCAGTCATTTTAATAACACGGTAAGTCTTAGCAGCAAAGACTTGCTGGCAACTCACTGCTTGAGCCTGGTGCTGTTACATCAGCCGTTTCGTAAAGACTTCATCAAGCACAAACTTTTATGCTTATCCCACTTTTCCCACCAAATTGTAATAGGGTCAGTTTGAAACTATGTACCAGGAGATTTTAATTGGCAATTGGACTAAAGCAAAACTAATCTCTGAAGGTTAGATTTGTCTCCCTGTCTCTTTTAACTGTAATAAAAGAATGGTAAAAAAGCTTCAGCTAGTTTTCCTTTTATTTACTCCAGCAGCAGGTTGAAGCCCAAAGGAAAAAAAAGGTATAAAACAAGCTGAGCTGGCCTTTTGTATGCATCAGAGCTTTTCTAGCATTGGCTTCTCATCAGACCAAGTTTGCTTGCTGTGAAGATAATCTGACTCACCTTTTGAAAAGTTAAAGGTCAGCTGCACTTGAGGAAGCCCCTGGTAGGCAATGGCTAATAGAAAATACCCTCAGCTCTTTCTTGACAATTACTCTCTCTGAAGCCATAGTCTTTTCTTTGCTTGCCTCAGGCTTCTGAGATCTCAGGGTAGTTTATTACCCTGCAGAAAGCACTAGCTAGATCCCACCACAGTGTTCACAGCTGTATATCCCTTATGGAAGAATAGAAGGTGTATGGTTTTTGATTTTGAGCCAATGCGTGCCCCATTAATCTGTGTCCCTTCTGTGGAGCAGCTGATGATGCATTTATTTATTTCTTCCTCCTTTTTCTTCAGTGCTTTTGCCCTTTCATTTTGAAGGCACAAGGTGTGTTAGTGTAAAGAATGATCTCAGTCACCTGCATGACTCTGAGCCCAGGATAAAAGTGAATTATTAAACCAGAATGGAATTTCTCTCTTAGGTAGAATGAATTTTAATAATGATGCTATATAGGTAGAATGCAATTCTCATTCATATACCAGTCACTGACAAAATAATTGGTTATGTTGCTGTCTGCTTTTAGGTATGTAGATTTATACCTGACAACTAGTTCTGCTAAGTTCACAAGTAGTAACAAACAATATAAACCAGCTTAACCACTGATAGCAATTAGTTGTTTTAGAATGTGTTTGAAATGGTTGTGTAACTGGGGAAATTGTCAGACAAGAAAGGATCCAATAAGGCTGCTAAAAGAGATTTTGTGGGCAAATTAAATGAGTACTTATGTAAAATTACCTACTGTTGCAGCGTTTGCACACGCACACTCATGGACTGGGGCTGATGAGCCTCTGGCAGGGAGCTTTGCAGAAGCTGCAAGTATTTTTAGTGGAAACGAGATCTCAGCTCAGTTCTGTGGCATGTGACTTCCTATTTCTGTAGGTTACTTCCAAGAGACTTCCTCTGTTAAATCGACTTGTCTCTGGAGATTTAATCTGGAGCCGGAGTGTGGTCTGCTTTGTCCTGTCTCTGTGACAGCATTTTCCTGGAGTTTGCTTTTGAGTATTTTATTTTTATTTTGCACTGTCTCTAGCATGCAAGGATCTAGTGGCTGCTACCCGTGATCGGAAGCTGACTACGTTTATCCAAGTCTCAGTGTTGCATCCAGCAGAGCACATTTTGACGTGGTATTCAAGCACTGAAATCGTGGAGGTGAGTCTTTCTTACTCAATGAACATGTTGATTATTGGATTGCTAATTTCTTCCTTAGAAAGTGAATTAGGAATAAAACAAGTTAGTGCATAGTCTTAGGTAAGACAAGCACACTCTGGCAGTTAGTAAAGCATACCTAAGTGTGCTGTAGTTCTTGGCATTTAACCAGAATGAACAGAAATTAACTTGGCTTTTCATGAAAGCTCTGTTGTTCCAAGTAGAGGCATGGAGAATATTTCAATTCTCCACACAGAGGTTTAGAACGAAACAGGGAATAGTTGCTCACATGAAGGGACAAGGCAATGCAAAATAAAACTTAATTAGGAGTATAGTGAGTTTGGAAAGTATTTTTAAACACAGAAAAGCATAGGTGTATTATGTGGTTTTATCCTATTTGCACCTATGCTTTTTTGTTCTATTGTTTCCATTAAAGAGTTGATGCTTTTGCAATTTGAAAAATATTACCCTAGATCTATAATTAGTGAAAGAAATGTGTGTACGTAATGTCTGTGAGTTTACATAAAATAATTAGTACTTTGCATCATACATTACAACAAAAGCTGTCTGAGGCTGCTGTGCTAGTCCTACTTTGCCCTGTAAGCATTGGTGTCAGAAACAGCAAAAATGGTTCAGAGAAAATGAAGGGTGAGCAATGTAGGTGTAACTTGTTTAACTTACTGGAGAGATTCATTAAGAGCAGGGAAGTCTCATTGTAAACACACACACAATTTCACCAGAGGCTTGTTTTAACTGTTAAATACAATGAGAATATTTCATGAGCTCTTCGTGTGATTACTTTCAACCAACTACTAATTAAATTATTATGGTTTCAGCCCTCAACCATCCTGAAACTGCTTAATTCAAATATCTTGTATCTGATCAGGATGTCTCTTTGCAGACTGTCTGGAAGGACGTTGTGCAAAAAATGAATAGATAACTATGTATTTTTTTTATAGAAGTTGATGTATTTCCTAATGCAATGTCCTAGACCTCAACAAATTCCTGAATTTGTTTTGTCAAGGTTCTTGGCTTTGTAATCAAGCTTTGGTGGAGGCGAAGGCAGGGGCACAGAAAGTTAATCCATAAGATAAATTACCTTTGTCATGCACAATCTTTTTTTTTTATTATTATTATTTTTACTTAATGGAAAATTTAAGGATACACGCATGGTAATCTTTGGAAATTAAATATAATTAAACATTCAGAAATTATAAGCAACATTTTGTATTATTCATTTAATTGTATATCTTTAGCTATGATATAGTTACTTCTGTGTACAGCTTTTAAGTGTAATCATAATGTTTCAATGCACAGGAATGTTATTTTATTGCAGTAGTGCCTAAAGAGGAGTATTTCAATCCCCTCTCCACAAATCAATGTACTTACTGAGAGTCTCTGTAGCATTTCTATACACTTAATATTGTGGCTTTATGAAGATTGCTTCTTTTTGTATGTGTGTGCAAGTGAAATCTTTAGTTTATTTAAATTAAGATGAAATTGTGGTACTTTCAAAAAGTGTCACGGGAATAAGAAAGGGTTTGGTTATTATGAGTTGTATTCCGGAACTTGATACTGGCTGAGCTGTTTAAAAATGTGATACTAGGCTCTGCTTCAGAAGCACTTCATATTCTTTCCAGTTAAAAACAATTTCTAGGAAGTTGTTGTGGTTTTATTTGGGTTTTGTTTATTTGTTTTTCATTTTCCTGAGAAAGTTTTAAGGCTCTTTGGTTTTTTTTCATTGATTGGGTAGTAAAACTGAGCTGTTCCCATATCTCTGCTGTAGACAGCTGACACCTTTTGGGTGTACCTCCACAGTGACATTCCTCACATTCTCAGCTGTTACCTTACTCAGTGTTTGCTCATGTTGCACAGGGTACAAAAGATCCACTGTTTTTGACTGGTGTGACCTTCCCACCGGAATACCCCATCTATGAGGAAACTAAAATAAAACTAACAGTCTATGATGTCAAAGATAAATCCCAAGACACGGTAAGTGCTTTGCTTCAGTCCTTGCACAGATACTGAGGAGTAAGTTTCTTGCTGTGTTGTTCTTTTGCTCTCATTAGCAAATTGGGGAAATGGTTTGATGTAAAATTGGTTTTGTTGTTCTCTTGTGCCTAAAATCTACTTTATCTGTTGTTGATATATTAGAGAATAGAGAAAGAGAATCATGCACTTAAGATGGGCATTTTGCTATTGGCTTTTTAACTGATTACATGAGTCAGTACAGGTATTCCTGGCAAATAAAAGATTGCTCTGTTGTGCTTTTGAGGGCAGAGAACACATGGAATAGACTGAGATAGCACCACTGTGAATAATTTTTCAGAAATATATTTCTGATAATATTTTACTTACATGCACAAACCAGAATGACAGTAGAGACTGTAACTTGGAAGAGAGCTTCTAGTATTTTAATCTCTTGTGTGGTGATATCTGCAGCTTTTCTGTTGCTGCTTTGTTATTGATTTGTAGCAGTCCAAGCTCTACAGTGTCACAGCTAAAGGTGAATCATTTGGGGTTGCGTTGTTGTACATTCTTGAATACAGAGTCAGCTTTTTATTCTTGGGAGTTACTCACTTGAACTGATATATGGAGGTCAGTGGGACAATCTGAGTGATTTAACTGCCAGATAAAGAGCTTGAATAATATTCTGTGTGTTCCAGGTAATTTAAGACAACCTTAGACAAAGGCTAAGCCTTTGTCTTAGCCTAGGACAGAGCTAGATGTCATCATAGGACCTACGGGAGATGTGTGTTTTGCTTCTGCGGCAGCTGGAGTCCAGCTGATAGGTTACTCTTAGACATCAAGAATGACCCTTGACACCTGTATTTAATTAACTGAATTGCTCTTTGCATATCTGCAGTTGGCACCCAGCATGATTAAAACAAGTGCAGGCTTATGTCCTGACTGTATATATGTTCATTTTCTGTAAGAAGGAAATCAAAGGCATAATTTAAAGCTTGAGTCTGTCTTTGAACTGCTTACAAAAGTGAAGTTCTATGTTTTGAGAACTTGTAATTTTTTTCAGGTAGAAAATTATTGATCTATTTGTTTAAATTTTCAACCTTTGTGACCCAACAGGTTGGTTCTGTCCCCTCACTGTGCTCTTTCACAGGAATGTGTGCAGTATTTTAAGCATAGAATCTGAATTTCTTCTCTGTTTAATAAGTGGGAAGAGACATGTACATCCCTTTTATAATGTATATATTTTAAATTTGGTATTGGATTAGACTAGAGGGGCTTAAAATGGGATGTGCTGTTTATGCAGTAGAGTTGTCACCTGTGGACGGGTAACAGGCGTTGAGTGCAGGGAGTTGGACTTTGTCCTTCTCTTCCAGTTTCATTCTGACTGACAAATGCTGGAAAATAATGCTCTGTCTGTAGGTGATAAAAGTGAACTGAGTTTATAGTACTTTTCCCTGTACTACTGCTTTTCTAGCTCCAGGCTCCTCTACTGCCACTTATGAAAGAGAAGATCTACCCTAGAGAACTAATATAATTTGATAAGCTTTTTGCAAATCTGTAAGAACTTTTTGTAACTGTTCTAACAACTGTAGTTCAAGACTAGAGTCTCTCCCAGGAAATCACATTGATGTAGCTTGTAAATCATGAGAGAATACCTTTCTCTTTTGTCATAGCATTTGTATTGTTCCTATGTGAAACATTCTAGATCTGTACTGTAGTATCTTTTTGTGGGGGAAAATATTAATCTCATCTTTGGTTTACATACATATAGCATTTTTTACTACTGAGCCATTTTAACACTGGATGTAGGCAAGAAAAAATTAAATAATATGTAAGATGTAAATCAAGATGAGCTGCAGCGTATGTGAATGACCCCAGGCTACTCTGGTTGCAACTTCATCTGTGGCAATATTTGGACTTCTGTTTACACCCTAAAATCTCACTCATGAAAAACTTGACTTTCTTACCTGTAATTAATTAGAAACCATCACACTTTCTATTAGTTTGGGTGACTTTTTTTCAAGTCTGGATGTTTATGTAAGCTCATAAAAGTGAGGTTGAAATAAGCTATAATTTGATATTATTACCGGCATAGCTGCAGCAGCACAGACCTCCATACTTGCTTCACAACCCAAGAAATTGGATATGACCCTTCGGCAGTGAAACTGCTCCAAGTGCTGTGGTGTCACAGCTCTGATTCTCCAGTCTGCAGTAGAACTGGCTTTCTTGTTTCTCAAAAAGTGCTGTCACATACTACGTCTACTGCATACTATGGCTACCGTTCCTCCAAACAGACAGGTAATCCAGTTGCGGGTGAAGGGGAATCTAGGCCTGCTAGGCATGTCCTGCTCTTCTGTGCTCCAGAGCAGACACCAGCTCAAATAACTGGGCATTTATGGCAGAAATAAACCATGGATTTGACTGTGAGATATTTTGCAGAAATTGTTTACAGTAATAATTCCACAGCATCAGAGCTGTACTACTGCTTGCCTCAGTTAATAAGCTCAAAGTAGTTAATATCCCTTGTCACAAATATATACTTTAACTTTTCTTCTCTTGTTGCAGCTATAAGAAGTGAATTCTGTGCATTAGTTAACTCAGCAGGATTTTACTGCCACAAATAGAACACTGTAGAGAAGGCGGGGAAAGGGCAGTGAGTACATCACTGAGTAAAGCATTTCTTGGGTTCTGTTAAACCTGACTGACTACACAAGAGAATTAGTTCTCATTTTCAGACCTGCTGGACTTTTACTATAACACAAAACTAACTAAATACTTCTTGAGTTGTGCACATCGGTGATAATATTAAAGTGAAAGAGGATGCTCCTCACTGAAAAACAACCAGAATTTATTTTTGGCCTGCTCTTTTAAAAAAATCTTGAAAATAACCTTTCAGTGCTAATATTCCTGTACCAGAAAGCTTTTAGTTACTTCACTCTTACCTGTCATTTAACTTACATTATATAAGAAGTATGGTTTAATTATATTGAAATACTGTGCAGCTGGGATCACATTCACTGTGCTTGACACACTGAATGCTCTGACTGCACTTTTCACTTTTTATGCATCTCTGTCTGATGTTAATTATATCTTGGCTGTGTCAGATTTTCTGTAATTGAGGCTTTTTAGTTTAATGAAACAGGGGTTTTGTGTGTTTTGAGTAGTCTTTCTAAGTGATTAGTTAGTGTAAGTTTTCATGTAAATAGAAACTTTTAAGAAAGACTATGGTATTCCTAGTTTATTTTGATATACTTAGAAAAAAGTAGTTGAAGTGCTTATGAAATATCCTTTAAATATATCCAGTGAAACCACCCATATAGATTAGTGGGTAAATACCATTTTATGAAAAATTTGGAGTGACATCTGTGTCTACATCACAAAGATTTTTCTTCTTATATTGCCATGAGCAAATTTATGTTTTGCTGGCTTGAGCTACACTGTCTTTAGGACTTTATAAATTTAGGTTTTGTTGTAATGCTGGGGCTGTACCTGTTCTTTGTCATTGTCTAATAAGATCAGAATTATAGGCTTGTAAACTGTTGAAAAATTACCTCTGTCCCACTTTTGCACAAGCATGCTGTTCTTACCTTTCTTATAGGCACGCAGGTTAGCCCAGTTTGGTCTAGCAAGTTTTAGAGCTGAAACCAGGTTCATTCTCTGGGACAATACTGCATAGCACAAGTCAGGTACCACTCCTACGTGACAGAACCACAGAGCTGATGATTTTGTGTTACACTGAGGGAAGTCTACTGCCTAATTAGGGAGGCAGCAGTTGTTGTTCTGTGCTTGGAATACGCGCATCCTGCAGCAAGAGTTATGAACCTCATACCCAGGTGGGCCACCTCTTTCATCCACACGTGGACGAGTGCTGGGAACAGAAGTAGGAGCAACTTTCTGTACATGCTGGGAACTTTCTATATGTTATCTTTACATCACCCCTTCAAAGATAATCTCCTTTGGATGGATAGTACTACTGGAACTCACGTGCGACGCTGAAGGTTACACACAGCCACTCCAATGTTACCCCTGAGAGCAAGGAGAAATATTTGACAGTCTGGTCTTCTTTTTTTTTTTACTTCCTAAATTTTATCTAAATCACTGAGAATAAAATTAGATTAATTTGATAATTTTTAGAAGTAGTGGGGCTAGAAGTTCTGTTTTGGATATGGGAACATGTGTTGTAAAGTGGCAATTTTAGATTACTTAGGCTTTAAATTACATGTCTTTTAAGTCTTGGGGTTTAGATCTTCTATTAAACCTGTTCACTAGGAATGAAATTTTGCAAAAGGTTTTGCTTTGTGTGTTTCTTGATTTTGCAAGTGTCCCTGTTAAAAGTGAGTCCTGCTGGGGTGAGTGGAAAATGAAGATTTTCCATCATGACAGAGGCATTTTGAGTTCAGCTGTGAAACCAAATCTGAAGCGAGAGCATTCCATGTTCCCTCATGGGCATTGATCCCTGTCACACCACCACCATCATGCAGTTTGGTCTTTGGTGCTTTGCCATCTCTGCTGAAGAGACACAGGGCTGGAACATTAGGAGTACTGCAGAGCAGTGTGTAAAATGCATTAGCAGAGATAAATGTGAAATCTTGTACCTCACCTTCCTGTTCTCTGCCTGCACCAGAGTGCACTCAGTCCCTCACTCCTTTGAATGCTAAAAATACCGAAACAGTTTCTCTTTGAAAACTGAAGCAAAGTGCTGTACTTTGTTTAAAGAAAAAAACACTTAAGTCTTCCCTTTGTCAGTTGTGTTCACTGCTGTCTCTGCAGGATTTGCAGAGAAATATTGCCTTAAATTAGAAACTCCTATTATCTCATTCTCCATAACAGAGCAGTACTGTGGACTACTACAGTCCTACCCACAGAAATACTTGCACTAAAGCTTTAGATGTTCATGTTTCTCTTCAAAATCTTCTATTTTTTTCATAAATATATAGTTGATGATAGATTTAGTTTTCCTTTTGCATCAGGCTAGATCTTCCTACTAAGCATCATTATTAGGATGAGGAGAGGAATGTTTTTTG